TTCAACACCGTATCTTAGCAGAGTTTAGGGAGGCACTTGGCTAAAATGAAAAAGCCCCACACTTCAGGCAGAGCAGAAAATATTCATTGTTGATTAAATATTTATCAGTGAGGTTTGGATGTGCTAATTAAATGTGCATGTTTTTCCTTTTTGCAAAAAGCTAACGACCTGTGATTCATTAGAATGAAAAACAAACCAGCTCACGCCTTCAAACACCCTCTAATTAGCAGTTTCTTGTTCAAAGCCAGGCTCCGCCTACATCAATTATGTTTATTATTTACTCAGGTGTCCGCGGGGGTCTATAAAAGTATTAAAAGTTGTTCAATCAATTTAGCGAAAATGAAGGCTATTATAAAGTATTAAACGGCATTTTCCAAGGTTTTAATTTTGTACGGCTTGTTTGTCAATAAGTATATCAATTTGTCCAAAGAGGTTGTGTCTACATCTGCCTGAATGTGAATCATTGCGTAGGTGTGTAGTGTATTCTGTGTAGTTTATTTATGCATCCCGTTGGATTTCACATCATCTGAACAGACCATCGCACACTCTCTGCTTGATAGCGCGCAAAGACCCGTTTACGGCCGTTGCTAAGCAACATCGTTATGGGGAATGCAAAGTCTGCGTCCAAATGGTTGGAAGATAAGGAGGAAGGACGATCAATACTTTTATAGTCGAATGTGAGGTAAAGTGTGTCGGCCAAGGTAACGGTTAAAACTCAAAGTGGGAAGATGAGGTCTTAAAATGTAATGGAAAGGGTCTTTAAAAAGGTCTTACATTTGACTTCAGGGTTACTCTGCATATACCCTGTTACTGTTAATAGCTTAAAAATGACAATGATTGTGTTGGCGTTGGCTCACAAAACTGTTCAAAAAGCTACACGGCCTTGTGTGCTTTTAAATCAACATTTTTTGCAAGCATTAAATCATGTATTCATCATCACGCCTTCCCAGAAGATCCACATTTGAACTTTTGAATATGTCCTGACAGTGCATGAGCCTATCATATGTTTTTATTGTATTAAATAACTATAAGTATAACAAAAATGCATTAAAAAGTACGATATTTCCCTTTTGAAATGTGTAGTAAAATGTATATATTTAGCATGAAATGAAAATATAATAATAACATTAAGTACAAATATGTAAAGATATGCTTTAGTAAACTTACAGTCGAGCACTGTAATATCATGTATGTGTGTGTTTGTAACTCACAACTCTCAAACACATATTAAGTTATATCTGTGACATAATGAGTATATGAGATCATTCCAGTGGACAACAACTCTCCACTCTGGTTCCAGCCATTACTTTATTTCCCGTCTTGTCCGTGATGAATTTATTCCTGGGAGATCGTCATGCAGAGGCATTCATTTAATGTTGACCGTCGCTCTGTCTCTGTTCGCCAATATCTACCGTAGGAATCCATAACTCCTGATATTAAAAAAGTAATAAAACAGAGAGAGAGACGGGAGAGGAGTGGAGGGGAAATGAGAGACAGGAAGAAGATGAGGAGCAGCGTAATGGGTCGCACTCATTACCATCAGCTGCTGTCTGTAGGCTGTATGAGACTTATGTATTACATAAAGGGGAAAAGCACACATGAATTATTTAAAAATCAAGGACACGCCCAAGGGGAAACAGCATTTTCTAAGAAGGTCTACAAATAAAAGCATTACTTACATTTTTTTAATGACTCCAAATCTTTTTAAAGGGGACCTATCATGCAAAATGCACTTTGTGATGTCTTTTATACATCAACATGTCCGGTGTGTCGGGGAACTCACGCAGCGTCAGAAAATAAAACCCTTTCTCTTTTCCTCCGTACCCAAATCTCTAAAAACGGGGGAACAACGAGCGGATGCAGATTTGCTGCCGATATGACGTAAAAATCGGCAGCGGACCCACAGAAAATTGCTATCAGAAACAATGCCTGACGTGTTTTTGGACGTAATCTCGTCTTTGTTTACATTAGCAAGCATCGCTAACACTCAGAGCTAACCTGTATGTGTTTGAAAAGCAGGAAATAAAAAAAAGAACTCACCTTGTGATAAACCTGCCAGAGAAAAAGCATTTGAGCTCCATACTGTTTCAGAAATAATCTTTGATGTGGTTTAGAACAGGATGGCGTTTTATCACAGCAGAATTTAACTTTATCTCATGTAGAATTCTGATCAGGCATTAGCTCCGCCTCCTCTTTTCTTATTTTTTTCAAGCTAAGGACCCAAAATCAGCGTTTCTCTTGCCATTAT